ATTAAGGATATTGATTTATTCACTCTTCTACATGCATTTTCTTCACTACATGCACTACAAGTACATGGGAACAGAAAGTAAGAGGTAAATGAGAGTATTATTTTGATCAAAACTAACTTAAATATTAAACTGGGATATGTATATATATATATATATATAACATATCAAGTTTTTTTAGTAGTAAAATAATCTAAGAGCCCTAACTTGAGAAAAAACAGGATACTGTCATAATACTCTGTGTTTAGTTCATGAGCATATTTTATTGGCATCCTAAATGAAGCAAAACTTCTACCTGAGTCATTTTTTTGGTTTATATTTTTTAACATTACTTTCCAAAAGGAAAATAGCCACAACACAGAAAACAAGGAAGAAAAATGAAAGTATTTTCAATTTCAATACATGACCGCTAACTTGCACATTGTTTAAAAATGCACTAAGACATTGATAATGTATTTTAAGTCTACCATGTATTTCAGATGGTTGTGTTGCATATTAATTGTAAGTTTTGTTAACTTGCATTATATCTTTCATTCCCCCAGTTTTTTTAATTCATAAATGCTTTTTTCAGAAATTCTTCATAGCTCTAAACAAGCTTCTACTTCAGGAATTTTGTCCTTGCAATGTAAGCTCTGCATAAGTGACACTTTTTACCCCACAAGTTTTATTTAATAACAGTTTTCATAAATGGTCATCACACATCACATGTGCACTATCCCCTCATTTGATTGCCAATGCCTAACTATACATTATTTCCTCACTACTATAACTACACTATAAAGTCCAAGTCATCATTGACATTTTCACTAAAACATCATTAAAATGATCTTTGTACTTAAATACATGAGTTACTTTGTAGATTCTCAATAAATACTTGTAAGCTGAATGCATGAAATAAAGATTAGAATTTAATGTCCCGTGTGTTGAATCTTTGAACCACTGATGATTGCGTTATCAGTAATTTAGAGCTGCCAGATAGACTTTAATAGTATAGCAAGCTGTAGAACTGGATAGCTTCTTAGGAATCCAGCTCAAGAAGTCATCACAAACCACCTCATGAATATAACCTTATTTTGTCTTCAGAACTCTTCAGTGAGGGATATGCACCATTTTACCCCTCCATTAAAGGGGTAGTGGAGTGCAAGAGATTTAACTACTTGGACAAGATAGTCCTATAAACCATGACAGAACTAGGATGGAGATAGCTCCCCATGACAGCACAGCTCATGACAACCACACTGGAATGCCCTGTGAAAGAGATAATTCTGCTCAAGAGTTTGTCAGTGGGTGTGGTGTGTTAACATAACATTCAAATAATATGAACCTATACCCCTGAATCACAGGGTGTTAGATCTTAACATTATATTATATATCATGTCATTAAACAAATATTGACAAACATTTATCAAAAAATTAAAGACAATGAAAGGTTAAAAATGGACAAAAGAATTAAATAGACACGTCAAGAACGTGCAGACAACAGAGGTGCATGAAAAAGTGCTCGTCATAATCTATCAGGGACATGCACCTCAAAACCTCACCAGGCCCCAGCTTACCCCTGTGAGCCTGGCCCACCTCAAAAAGACCTGACACAGGTGATGAGGAGGCTTTGGGAAAAGAGGAACCTCATGCACTCTTGGTGGGAACGAGTCATCCACAGTGCCCTGAAACATTTGTTACATCAATAAAAATACGTCTTTCAAAAAGAATTTAGTTAAATTGCAGGGGAGGAGATCAGCGTGCAGAATTTAGTTGATCTATACACACAAGTGAAACTTATAATGAAGTGAAGGAAGCAACTGTATTCACAATAAATTTGAAAGAGTAAATGAATGGTCAAGAGGTAAACTTAACCAAAGATATGACTGAGCTGTGCTCTGAAATCTCTGAATAATGTTGAAAAGAATATCAATAGACCTAAATAAATTATATTTTCTAAAAAGCCCATGTTGATGGGATGTTCTTCTTGTTTCTTGTTGTAGGCTGTAGAATTTTGTTTAATAAGTTTACTAGAATGAAGACTATTCTTTGTTAGGTGAGGTCTTTGAAGGCTGCGATTTTACCTGTGAAACTTTGAGTAGTGGAACAGCTATTTTTTTTTTTTTAACTCCCCACTTGCATAACCATATTCTTCACTCAACATTCACATGTAAACCTTTGACAATTTTTCAGAGTTCTATCATATTCTTTTAGAGTGAATTTGTTGATGTTTCAGCAATCATTAAAGTGGTGGACACCAGGCACACTATTTCTGCCATGTTTATTTTTCTTTATAGACACTTATTAATTTTAGGCTACCAGATAACCCAGGGAAATACATCATCTTAATACTTTTAATCATATTACACGTGCAGTGTATTCTGACTCAGGTAATATTTACAGAATCCAGGAATTGACCTGACCTGTTGAGAACTTTCATTTGGCCCCGTTGGTTTCTGTCTCACACACACTCTACACGCCATGACCCAGGAGCCTGGCGGGGCCCAGGGCCCTCTGTGTGCTCAGTCAAGGCTGTGGAGGCTTCCCCGTCACCGCTGCAGTGTCCAGAAGGAAGCCTCTTCAGACAAGGAGTGGGAGTGGGAGAGCTGGAGAGGAATGGGTGTGCTTCCCCCTCCCAGATTTGACAGCTGGTGATTCTGTGTGAGCCCATGGTCCATGCATGTCCCGTTGTACCCACAATGGCAAGTCCAAGTATTGAAGCAGATGAAATGCTTACACTCATTATTTGGATATTTAAGATGAAATGTTTACACTCTATTATTTGGTGACCCAGCTGTAGCAATACTTAGTATGAGTTAATCTTAATATTGAACGTTTCAGAGCACCTGGTGTGTGTTAGGTATTTTCTCTGGTTTTATGTATGGGACCTACAGATCTTTTGAAATCCTGAGAGGATGGCATGATATCATTATCCTCCTCTTGCCCATGTGAAGCTGGAATTCAATGATTAAAATACTCGAGCTATTTGACGCCTAATCAGACTCGTAAGCGAGGCAAGCCTGTCACTGCCCCCGTGCCTCTGATGAGGAGGCTGCGATAATTCTGCTTGGGAGCATGAGCTTGGTGACCAGGTAGAGAGAAAATGGATCCGTGTGCTTTTGTTTAAAGAGAAATCATTTTCAGGTCATGATGATAGTGGTAACACAAGTTGAGTAATAAAACAAATTGTTAAAGGTAACCACAACACCCTTGATGAAGAGAATAAATGAAAATAAATATAAATTACATAAAATTTTGAAAAGTAAGTACCCAGTGCTACAAGGATATGAAGAAGCCAGAATGTGCTTATGGTTGGGGGTGTGCGACTGTGAGGCGATTCATAGAGTTTTACAATTTCTGCTCAATTCAGTCTATTTACCAAAGACTCAAAACAACTCCCTGGTAATTAGCCAAATGAAATAAAAACTGTGTTTGCAAAAAAATAAAAAAAATTTGCACATGCTTTTTTTATCACTTTGTTTATAATGACCTTACACTGGAAACAAAATAAAAGGCTCACAAATGAGGAAAGAAGAAAAAAGTATAAGGTCACAGCATGGAATACAACTTTGCAATTTAAAATTCCACTATAGGTACAGGTAAGGATGTGCTTTTAACCAAAATGAATGTAGCAAAAATGCCAGAATCAAAGACTATGGATTCTAAGGCCCCAGTTCAGTACATTCCCGCAAAGTCAAAATTATGTGGAAATAAAAGTCAGTAACTATGACCATGTTGATTCCAAGGAAGGTGAGGAATCAAAATTTAGAAACAAACAGTAATAGGTGTGCATACTACTCTCTGCGACTTGCTAATTGAAAATAATATGAAATATCAATGCAAATACATCTATATAGCTTAAAATTATGCTCTGTGGTTCCCATAGGCAGCTTGCTTATTTCATCATTTGGATGTGGAGTGAGAACCAGAGGTGGCCTCGTGGGGGACATCCCCTGAGAACCTCGTGTCTTTATGAAACACTCTCAGTCCCCATGCACTACCCTGGAATCCACCGTGACCTGGAGCTGTATTTACAATGACCAGGTGTTGGCCCTAGCCCAAGAACACCATATGCTCCTCTGAATGTTGATGGTTTGCACATGCAGGCACTCTTCTGATCTCAAGATTTCTTACGAACTTGCCGCCATGGTCAAGGAAACTCTCCAAGGTAAAAATCATATTGAAAAATTTTGAAATGAAACTCTTAAACCCACCAATTGTTTTAGAGACACTGTTTTGTTATTTGCTAACACAATACCATGGCTTCCTGAAAAAGCTATATTTGTTATGTCTACTTAAACTTAATGAGAAAGCCAGGAAAGATACATGGTAGATTCAGGATTTGAACCCATGTTAGTGGCTTTATTTCTCCATTGTTTCCTCCTTAGAGGCATTGAACCCAGTGCCCACTTCTGCTCAGAGATTTTCTAATAGAATCTGTGCATTATTCTCTGGCTGGGTTTTTTGTTTTTTTGTTTTTTAATCTCAAACATACTATTCAGGATTGACTGTCATTTCTTTTCGAGTAGAAGGTGAGTTTTTATAGCATGAAATGTTGCTTTTAGTGAAAACTCTATTTGTGGAACTATGAAGAAATTACTTGTATTGTGCCTCACAGTGTAAATGAAAATAATAACTAACCTAACCTCACAGATTGTTGAAAATAAACATAAAGCAGAGAGGTAGTGTCAAAGCAGTGTACAATTTAATTGTCCAGTGAAGCTGAGCTCTCATTTATGAATTCCATAATTGCCCTACTGGAAAATTCACTAAATTTTGCAAACTTTGGTTTAAAATATAGAAGAATAAAAATCTGGAGAGGTTATTCATGAAGATTCCTAATCAACAGCTTAAAATTCCAGATAATTTACTCATTAAATTATGCATTGAAGGTCATGGCAGGTACAGAGAGTCTGGTGATACATACTCTAGCTACAATTGACATGTCATTATAATTTCCACATCTAACTCTCTATTTCTTTATGACTTAGTGCTGCATAAAATCTGATTGCTAAGCAACCTCCATGGAGAACACCACAGAAGTGACCCAGTTCATCCTCCTAGGACTGACCAAAGCCACGAACTTACGAGTCCCACTTACAATGATGTTCATTCTTATATATACCATAAATGCCATCGGGAATCTGGGGATGATCCTGTTGATCCTTTTGGACACTCGTCTCCACACGCCCATGTACTTCTTCCTCAGTAACCTGTCCCTGATGGACTTCTGTTACTCTACTGCTGTCACCCCTACGGTCATAGCTGGGTTACTCATGGGAGACAAGGTCCTCTCCTACAATGCATGTGCGGCTCAGATGTTCTTTTTTGCAGCCTTTGCCACTGGGGAAGTTTTCATCTTGGCTGCAATGGCCTTTGACCGCTATGCAGCCGTGTGCAAACCCCTGCATTACACCACCATCATGACCACAGGTGTGTGT